GTGGAGGGGCAGCGAAGGAGAGGAACACCTTTGATGAGATGGATTGATTCTGTGACTGGAGTGGTGGGAATAAGTGCGTTTGAGATGGCTAGGTTGGCACAGGATAGAACAGCATTTAGAGCTCTTGTACATAGGGTCGCTATGAGTCGCAAGCGACTCGATGGCACATAATAACAACAACAACAACAACATACTTCAGCTTGTCCCAGGAGCTTCTTGTGCTTCCATTATTATACTTTGCTTTGTCCTCCTGGGCACACCTTTGAAATAGTCTGTTCAACACTTTGCCTTCAACCTGTTTTCCTTTAGATTTGGCTTCTCAATGCTCCAGTGCAATCTTTAGAATCTCTTCTGACATCCATTTCAATTTTTTCTTTCTCCTCTATTTTTAATGACCTTTTGCTTTCTTCATGGATATCATCCCACACCTCATCTGGTCTTCTATCATTAATGTTCAAACCTCAAACCTATTCTTAAGATGATCATGATATTCGATGGAATTGATTCAAGATCATATTTTGGTTCCTGTGGGCTTATTTTTCATTTTCTTTGGCCTCAGTTTAAACTTGCATATGAGTAATTGATGATCTGACCCAGAGTCTGCCCCCGGTCTTGTTTTGACTGCTGATTTTGGTTTTCTCCAGCAATTTCTTCCATAAATGTAGTCAGTCTGATTCCTCTGCAGCCCATCAGGTGAAATCTATGTGTAAAGTCATCTTTTGTGCCTTTTGGAAAAAGTATTTGCAATGAATAAATGATTGCAAAAACAGAAGTCAGTCATTCTATTTCCAGCTTCATTTCTATCACAAAGCCCATATTTTCCACTACTGTTTGTGCTTCACTGTTTTCTGCTTTTGCATTCCAGTCACCAGTTATCATTAACACATCCTGATTGCATGCTTGGTCAATTTTAGACTGCAAAGTTTGGTAAAAATTCTCAGTTTCTTTCTCTTTGGCTCTAGATGTAGGAGCATATATTTGAATAATAGTCGAGTTAATGGGTCTTCCTTGTATCCATATGGATATTATCCTATCACTCATAATAACATTGTATTTCAGGATAGAACTTGAAATTGACTTTTGGCTATGAATGCAACACCATTCTTCTATTTTTCATACCCTGCATAGTATACCATATGATTATCTGATTCAAAGCGGCCAAAGCTGATCCATTGCATCTAACTAGTGCCTAGTGTGTCAATATTCATGTGTTCCATTTAATTTTTAACAATTTCTAGTTTTCCACATTCAAGCTACATACATTCCATATTCAGTTTTTAAATGGTGTTTGTTATTGCTTTTCCTCATTTGAACTGACTTCCACTCTGGACTTTATCACTACACAATTATAACTATCCTCTTTGTTTAGTGTTCATAGGGTTTTCAAAGGCCTTTTATTTAGGAAGTATATGGCCCATCCTGCTTCCTAGGCTATCTTAATCAGGGAGCTCCACCAAAACCATAATTGGAAACCTTTTTGGAATTTGGCACACCAATAACACAGATTTCAGTATCACAGAAATCTCCATAATCTCAGTACAGTACAGTACAGTACAGGCAAATGTTGTACCACTTAGAACAATGTTCTAAGAATGTGCAGAGTTGGAATTGGAGAATAAAAAGGGAAGAAAGAACTCTGCATTTCTCAAGCTGAAAGAACTGAAAAACAGATTTAAGCCTCATGTCACAATATTAAAAAGAGACTTTGGGCAATATATTGAATATCCCAGAAAGCATCAAAAGAAAATAGGTAGAATACACACACTCAATGTACCAGAAAGAATTGATTGACACTGAAAAATTTTAGAAAGTATCCTATGAACAGGAGCCAATGTAATGAAGGGGAAAGTAGAAACTGCATTGAAAGCATTGGCAAAATATAAAGCTCCAGAAACTGATGGGATACCAATTGACTTGTTTGAATGAACAGATGCAGCCTTGGATGCACTCACCAGTCTATGCCAGGAAATTTGGAGGACAGCTGTCTGACCAATGGATTGGAAGATGTCGATATGTGTTCCCATTCTCAAGAAGGGTGATCCGACTGTATGTTTGTGGAAATTATCAAACACACGCAAGCTAAATATTGTTGAAGATCATTTAAAAATGGCTGGAACAGTACATAAATAAGGAGCTGTCAGAAGTTCAAGCAGGATTTAGAAGAGGCTGTCGCAACAAGGATATCATTGCTGATGTCAGATGGATACTGGCTGAAAGTAAGGGCTACCAAATGAATGTCTACCTGTGTTTTTTTTACTATGCAAAGGTATTTGACTGTATGGATCATGACAAGTTGTGGCTGACATTGAGAAGAATGGAAATCCCAGAGCACTTGATTGTGCTCATGCGGAACCTATACCTGAATCAGGAAACTGTTGTGCGAATGGAGCAGTGGGGCACTGTATGGTTTGGAATTGGGAAGGGAGTGTGTCATGGTTGTATACTTTCTCCACTCCTGTTCAGTCTTTATGCTGAGCAAATTATCTGAGAAGCTGGACTCTATGAGGAGAAGTGTGGCATCAGGATTGGAGGGAGACTCATCAATAACCTGCATTAAACAGATGACACAACGTTACTTGTTGAAAGTGAGGAGGACTTGAAGCACTTGTTGCAGAAGATCAAGGAATGCAGCCTTCAGTATGGATTACATCTCGGTATCAAGAAAATAAAGATTCTTACCATTGGACCAACAGGCAGGGTCATGATGGGTGGAGAGGAGATTGAAACTGTCAATAGCTTCATCTTACTTGGATCCACTATTAACACCCTTGGTACAAGCAGTTAGGAAATAAGGAGATGCATTGCAATGGGAAAATCTGCAGTTAGAGACCTTTCCAAATTGTTGAGGACTAGTGATGTCAGTTTGAGGACTAAGGTGCGTCTGATTCAGGCCATGGTCTTTCTGATTACTAGCTATGCATCTGAGACCTGGACAATGAGTAAGAATGACAGAAAAATAATTGATGCCTTTGAGCTTTGGTCTTGGAGATAGCATTGAACATCCCATGGACAGCCAAGAGGATGAACAGATATGTCTTAGAAATGGTGCAGCCAGAGTGCTTTTTGGAGGCAAGAATTATGAAACTTTAAAAAGAAAGAATTATGAAACTTCTCACACATTTTGGACATGTTGCTAGGAGATGACTATTCCTTGGAGAAGGTTATGATGTTGCAAAGGGTGGAAGGTCAATGAAGGAGAAGATCCTCAACCAGGTAGATTGATATGGTGACTGCTGCAATGGGCTCTTTTGTGTCAGAAAGCGTGAGGATTGCATGGAATAGAACAGGGTTCAAAACTATTGTTCATAGGGTCACTAAGCATCATGCTCAACTTGACAGCACCTAACTAACTTGTGCTTCAGTAATCTACAGGAGCATTCGTCTCTTTTTAGTGTTAAGTTTGCTTCTGCTCAAGAAGATTAATCTTCTTGTCATCTTGTGCACAGGGGAAAGGTGAGCAGTCTATTCCTGTTAAGATTTACAATCTCAGATACCCAGTGGGACAAGTCTACTCCATCCTATAAGGTCACCAAAAGTTGAAATGAACTCAGTGGCAGTGAGTTTTATTCTGGATGTTTTTTGTTGATTTTTGATTGTTTGGTTTTGTCCTCTTCTGAACAATTAAGTGCCCATTATTTGCAAGATAAAGGGTAATAAAACCAAGATAAGACAATTAAATCATTTGTCTCTGGCATATGTTGGTCTCTTGCAAAGTGTCATAGATGTTGATATTATGAAGTTCATAATCATTTTAAATTGGAATAAAGTTTCATACTCAGACTGGAATGTTATAACCCTTGTTGTTAAATGTGGGTTCTGCCACTTCTTAGTTGTGTGACCATGGGCAAGTTGCTTTCTGGCCTGATAATGGAGGTAATAATACTTGATATATAAGTAACTAGTAGTAGTTTCCTGCTTCTGCTTGTAGCTTGTGAAGCATTGTGCAGGTTATATGATCCAAGGAAGCTTTTCCTGTATATTGAATTTGTTCTTTTAAAGATGTTACCATAGACAATTTATCATCAAGTCTTTGGACTGGAGAGTTTGTATTTCATTTTGTGGCATTTAATTCCCCAAAGGACATAATAATGGGAAAGTGTAGCAAGTTGAGGTGATGCCAGGAAAGACCTGCCCTTTGTCACAAAGGTGGCCTTATTCCTCTTAATTCAGATTTGGTGTGCAGTCCTTCTGAGAAACTCACACTGTTAAGTATTTAACAGCTGATCAAAGCCAACAAAACTAAATAATGGTGCTTATTGTTATAAAGGACTGGTAATGTATGAGCCGGAATGCCACATTGTTAATCTGATAAAATATAGAACTACTAGACTGACTGGAATAAAAATATCACTGTTCAGGCATGTCCTATTCTTGTAGCCATGCTACTTGAGAAGTCAGATTATAATTAGAAGGTTGTTTTGGTGAGAACGAAGTCTGAGCAACAGCAGTGCAAACCATGGGTCATAGGATCTTGGATAGTGCTGAGCAAGTCTGTTAAACCCCGATTTTTTCACTTCACTCTTATTGTAAGATAACAGTCCTCCTTGGATCCCCAAAATTTTGAAAATAACTTTTAAAACATCCGTTCTTTTTTCACAGCATTCTTATATGATCTAAAATTCTGCCTGTATGTATCTGTTTCAGGGCTTGTGGTTGGATTCATCCTGACCATTGCAAATTTCAGTTTTTTTACCTCTTTGCTGATGTTTTTCCTTTCTTCTTCGAAACTCACTAAATGGAAGGGAGAAATAAAGAAACGTCTTGATTCAGAATATAAAGAAGGTAAAATGAATTAAGTTTGACATTACTTAAAATAGAAGCTTTTTTGTCCTAATTTAAAAGTGTTTAGACTGTTGATAAATTTTATGAGAATTACGTTAAGTTAGACATTAGTGTATTTTAGTACCACATTACACAACAGGTAATAGAATTTTAGAAACATTAAGACCTATCATTAGTTACTTTTTATTTATTAATTATAGTACATATATACAAAGATGCCATACTACTTTTAAACTGAGTAACTTTTCCTTAAATTTTAAAATGTAAGTTCCTCTAATTGTATGATTTTTCTCCTGAGAAGAAAACATTTCTTGTATTTTATCTCTGCTTTGTTGTTTGTAGGTGGGCAGAGGAACTGGGTTCAGGTTTTCTGTAATGGAGCTGTGCCCACAGAGCTGGCTCTGCTGTACATGATAGAAAGTGGCCCCGGGGAAATCCCCATTGACTTTTCCAAGCAGCACACAGCCTCTTGGATGTGTCTGTCTCTGTTGGCTGCACTGGCCTGTTCTGCTGGAGATACATGGGCTTCAGAAGTTGGCACTGTTCTGAGTAAAAGCCCACCAAGGCTGATTACAACCTGGGAAAAAGTTCCAGTTGGTGAGTCCTGATTTGAGTTCCCTTGATAAAACCTAGAAACTTTGATTTCTTGTATATCTTATCTGAGAGCCTTCTAAAAATTTTTGTTAGTCTCCTTAAATGGAAAATATTAAAGGCTATTAAAGAGAGCTCTTTAAATTAATATTGACTCAAAGAGAAATGAAAAAAAAAAACACCAAACAAACAGAAAACCAGAGCCATTATTTTACTATTAGACAAAGTAGATTTTTTAGTCGGGATCAGAAAATATATAGCTGAATTTTGTATAGTGCTAAACAAGTCAACAAATAAAAGAAGATTTAAGAATTATAAATATATTTGCACTATATATATGACCCAAATGTCATGTGTTTAACCAAATTCCAGTGTGTAAAGTATATATAAAATTGTGACAGCTTAACAACCAAGGATAAATAACCCAGTGATTTTGTGAAATGTCTACACAAAGGATTGAGGAAGACATTGAAATGCATACCAGACACATGAAAAAATGGTTAGCATTATTAGCCATCAGAGTGATGCAAATCAAAACCATAGCAAGATACCATTACATTCCTGTTAGGTTGACTAAGATAAAAAACAAAATAAACAATAACAGAAAAGAACATATTCTGTGAGAACATAGTGAAGAGGAACTTTATCTGTTGCTGGTGGGAATGTAAAATGATAGAGCTATTATGGAAAACATGGTCGTTTTCTCAGAAAGACTAAAAATGGTATATTCCCCCGAAATTTTAAAGTGCAGACTTTAAAAGAGCCAGAAGGTGGAAATAACCAAATTATTCATCAGCAGATAAATGGATAACCAAAATGTAGCACACATATACAATGAATACTCCTCAGCCAGTTGGAAAGTTGAAGTATTGATGTATGTTACAATATGAGTGGAATTTGAAGTATCCATTATATTGAGCAAAGTAAGTCAATCACAGAAGGACAAATAATGAATGAATCACTTACATAAAAAAAAGGCAAATGTATAGACTGAATTTTATTCATAGTTACCTGGAGCAGGAAGAAGGGGACAGGAGAAGATTAATGGTGATGGTAAAATCACATGGGTTGAAAGTAAGGATTGCACCCATGATTACTAGAATTGCTGTCAACACAATATTCTGGCAGAAGTATGATTACAGCAGTGACTAAAAGAGAGAGACAGAGAGCACCTGATTGCAACTAAACACTGCACCCATTTGTTTCCTTGATATAGATTAATAATTTCATGAGACATCCCAGTTAGTTTAAGTTCGAGAGGTGATGTTTTCAGTGCCAGAGGTTTAAAAGGATAAGGTCACGGTCAGTGGTCTTGAAAATGGAATGCCTTCGTTATTTCCTGCAACAACATCCTTATTACACTAGCATTTGGAGGTCCTTCTTGGACTCTTTGATCCAGATCAGCATTTGGTGATGCTATTTTTAATATTTTTGCATCCCTCATTTGCTGATTCTGGTGGTCTACTTCACAGGGAGTGGTGCTGATAACCTGAAGACCACGTCTCTGGAGGTTTAAGTCCACTAGCAGCTCCGCAAAGAAAAATGGGTCATCTCCTCTCATGCAGTTTAAATTCTTTTTAAAAAAAAATAAAATTTTCTTTTGATTGTGATTTTAACGGACATTTACAGAGAATTTAGATTTTTATTCATTTTGAGTTGCAGATTTTATCCCCACACTGCCCCTTCCTGCTCCCCTAGTTCACTTTTTTAAAAAAAATATTCATTCCTTGTTGCACAACTACCTACCTACTTCCCCAAATCCTCTTTGCAATGATACAGCTCTTATTCTGGGCTGTTGTACATATAATGCCTAATCACATACTCATTTTAAACAATTCTTTCTTTCATCTGTTCCAATGCAATGGTTATTATCTATCTATTCTTATCCTATTCTCCTCCCAACCCTCCTTGTCAGACTTGCTTTATAACAATGATGCTATGCAGTATTGGCGCTGCTGGTGGGAGTGTAAAATGGTGCAACCACTGTGGAAGACAATTGGCGCTTTCTCAAAAAGTCGGAAATAGAAATAACTTTTAATCCTTTCTGGCGGTGACCTCTGTTTGCCAACATGCCTCTCACAAAGGATCTTCATCTCTCTCCAGAAGAGGAGAAGAGGAAACATAAGAAGAAATACCTGGTGCAGAGCCTACAGGAGGAAAAGCCAGGCTTACAGAAGGATGCTCCTTCAGATGGAAGCAGCATTAAGATAAAACCATCAAGATGAGTGGAAATCATCTCAATAAACAGAATTTTGGATATTAAAAAAAGAAATACCATTTGACTCAGCAATTCCTCTACTGGGAATATACCCTAAAGAAACCATAACCACCATCCAAGCAGACATATGTACACCCATGTTTATTGCTGCACTATTTACAATAGCAAAGAAATGGAAGCAACTAAGTGCCCATCTACAAATGGACAGATAGAAAACCTGTGGTATAATTACACAATAGAATACTACGCAGCACTGAAAAACAATGAACTTGAAAAAAACATTATACAATGTAGAGAACCCTGGAGCATATCATGCTGAGTGAAATATCTCAGTCACAAGAAGCAGTTTAAATTCTTGGAAACTCAATGGTGAGTCAGCTATGAGTCGATTGTGACTGCATGGCAGTAGACCTATATTCACTTCATATTGAGTTTGACTAATTTCTACCACTTCAGCAGCAGTGGGAAAATGAACTTTGGACCTCCTTGCCACATGTGTGACAACTACTACTGGTTATGTGCTGCACATTAAATCCTTTCACTTGCTTAGGTGGGCATATGCAAGATTTGGAGAACTGCTTCTGCCCCCCTGGACCACTGGAAGGACTTTGGCACAGACTGCTTCCTGTAAGCAACTGAAACCCTTGGGTGGCTTCTCTCAGAGGGCTTGGCATTATGCTCTTAGAAGAACTATGTATATAAATTAAACTGAAATCAGCAATTCAAAAGGCTAGGTAGGAACTTTAGGGGCAGTGAATATATGTTAATAGAGGAGGAACAGATCAGAAAGGAAGGTGAGGATGGGTACATAATTTGAGCAGTGTAATCATTGTCATTGAACTGTGCATGTAGCAACTGTCAAGTTGGTGGTGTGTGCTTTGAGGTGCATGTTCTCAGCAACAGAAATATGAAGTCTAAAGAAGAATCTAGTCTCAATTTGCTAAACCAAAGAAACCCAAACCTATTGCCATCAAGTCTGTTCTAACTTATGATTGATCTTCCATTGGGTTTATGAGGCTGTAAATATTTATGAGAGAGGACTGCCCATCTTTCTCCCTTTGAGCACCTGGTGGATTCAAACTGTCAACCTTTCTATTAGCAGCTTGATAATGTTACTCATGATATTACCAGAGCATTTTGAATGAACAGGTACCAAAAATTCTTGGTTTCATTGGCTTTATGTTTTGCAGTTTGTTAACCAGATTTTGTGCATGTTTCTTTTTCAGGGACAAACGGAGGAGTCACATTAGTGGGCCTTCTATCCAGTCTCCTTGGCGGTACCTTTGTGGGCATCGCCTACTTTCTCACACAGTTGGCTTTTGTAAATGATTTAGACATTTCTGCTCCCCAGTGGCCAATTATTGCTTTTGGTGGTCTGGCTGGACTATTAGGATCAATTTTGGACTCATATTTAGGAGCTACAATGCAGTTTACTGGTAAGGAAACTCGTTATTGTCTTAATATGGAAAATACATTTGGGGAAAAAAAGAATATATATACGACCTTGGCAACAAAATCAAAGAGAATGTACTTGACCAAAAAGGGTAGGGGGAAAAAACCTAATACTGCTAAGGAATAAATTGGAAGCTGTATAAAATAGGGACAAGTAAAAAATAGCAGAGGAAATAAATAGCTTATGGAACGTCATCTAATCTTGGGTAAGCAGGCCATTTTAGGATCAGATAACTTTACTGCACCTTCTTCTGTATGTTTTTTTAAGTTTGTTCAAGAGATAATTATTGCTTTAACCTAACCTACTTTTCCACTGGCACCACCCGTGTTAGGTGGGAGTCAGTTTTCTGAAAACTTTTTTGCATGTTTTGCTTCTGGAGATTTCTCATCAGTAATTATACTGACATATTATTATATGTCAGTTATTCCATGCTGTCATCAGCTATAATTTCTCCTTTGATTAACATAGAGACACGGGGAGTCTGGAAAAAAGTTCCGAGTAGTCTTCTGAGTACTCTTTTTTTAAAATCTTTATTATTATTATAAATTTTGCTTTTTGTTTGTTTGGTTTTCTTTCTTTTTTTTTCTTTTTTCCCCAGTACTCTTCATGCTCAAAGGTAATTTGCTTATGCTCTTCCTCCCCTGCCTACGAGTTAAGTTTTCTTTTCCTCTGGCTTTTGTTAGCCTTAACTAGCTGCCAAGGAGGAAGCTCTCTTTTTTTTATTATTATTATTTGTGTCTGTGTGTTTGTGTGTGTGTACCGTCAAATCAGATTTGACTGGTATAGGAGGAGATTGTTCCTCTTTCTCCAGCAAAGCATCTGGTGGATTTGAACTGCTCACCTCTCAGATTGCAGTGCAGCTTCTTGCCACAGACCACCAGAGCTCGCTGAAGTACTCTTATTTTAATTCACACTAAATGATTAGTATCTCTGTAAGTAGAGAAGGTACCGATCATACTGTGTAAGTTGAAAAAATGTGGGCAGCTTATATCAGTAAATCTTTGCCTTCTTTGTGACAATTTCATGCGGGGTCCTGTGTGTCCACTGCTGAGACCTCTAATGGGACCCCTCTTCTCAGGAGCCGCACAAGTCTTAGAATCTCTAGGCAGTGACTTAACCTGCTGGTTTCACAAAACCTCTGCTCTCTGTGTTCTCTCTCTACTTTGGAAGGCATTTCAGGACATTGAGAGAACAGTTACAGCGTGTGCTAAAACCCATTTATTCTTAGAGGTCCTTTTTAATCGAAGGTTCTGTATTTCTTACAACATAAATGATCTACTAAAAGTATTTAACAAGTGACCAAGACTCCAATAGATTGTTTTCTTTGGAGGAGAAAAGTTAGTTTATATTTAATTTATTTACTTGTTTGTTCAGTCAAGCCATTTAGATTTTTCACCATATTTGTTTCCTTGTGATTTTAGGTTTGGATGAAAGTACAGGCCTGGTGGTCAACAGTCCAACCAATGAAACGAAGCACATCTCTGGGAAACCCATTCTTGATAACAATGCAGTGAACCTGTTTTCTTCTGTCCTTATTGCTCTTTTGCTTCCAACAGCTGCTTGTGGTTTGTGGCCCAGTGAGTGACTCTTGGCAGAGTTCCCATAAGTTCAAACTGTGATGAGTTCAACCAAATTTGCAACTCCACGTTCTGTCCAAAGAACAGTAAATTTCATGGTAAAAAGTAGAATGCAAACATCTACCTTAACCTATAGCAATGGGATTCTACAATTTTCTCTCTCATCCACTCCCTGTAAAAGCTAATATCTTTTTAGTGAAAGGGAAGAATGTAAGGAACATATGCCAGTTTTTCAACTGCTAGATGGAGCTTTTTACCGATAAAGCTACACTGTGTTCCTAAAACTGCAAGTTCTTATGCGCTTGGAGTAGAGTTAGAGTTGGATCCCATTGAATCCCTTTGGATTCAGAGCCAGCCCTTGTGACACACTAGAACTGCCAGGTAGGCATTTCTTAGTTGTAATCTTCACAGAAGCAGATCATCAAATCTTCTTCCCAAAGACTCTAAGTTGGTTCCAGTTCTCAACCTTTAGCATCTGAATGCTAAACCAGTTACCAGGACTTTTTCCTTCCTGGTAGGAAAAAAAAATAATAATTTGTTTAAACTAGTGTAGTGACTTAAAGTGCTGAAATTGCAGAAGGTTCTCAGAGTGGCAGAGAAATACCTCTGTGCCATTTATGGCCAAATATGGTTACCTTTTTTAAGCACTGTGCAGATGTGTGTGGAATCCAGAAGAAGTATATAATATCTTGGACTTTTTGTACTATTTTCCTATTCACACTTGTGAAAAGTGATGAGTTTGGTTCCTAGTAAATGTCTTTTTTCAGATGAGCATTAGATTATGTGGGGGGAAATATTTTTAAGTAAACCAAAAGATTTACTTTTGTATTTAAAAAAAAAAGTGCACCTTAACTATTTTGTTGTTGCTCTCTAAAAAGTATCTTGAATTAATATCCTAGAATGTCTTTTTAAACATTCTTTGAAATATGGACGGGAGTCTGGTTTAGGATTGACCTCCTAAACAATTAAAGAGTCACTGGAAAGCTATTGTTTCTTTGCTATTCTATAACTCACCGGAAAATGCTGTCATTCCCTCTTAAGTACCTTTTGTGTTGAACTATCCTTTACAATATAACCTCAACTAACGTGAATTTTACTTTTTGCTTTTGTACTTCATTTTTAATTACTGTGTGATATAAGAGTTTTAATTGGTACAAATTATTTTACTGAAAATATTTTCAAATGTTTCCTCAGATGATTCCATACCTTTGTCTCCCTACCTTTTACACCATCAGAGCAGATTTTTTTTTAGATGGTGGTTGTTATGTGCCATCGTGTCACATGCAACTCAGAGCAACGCTATGTACAGAGGTTCTGAAACATGCCCTATCCTGAGCCAGTCTCAGTGACTCCGGCACACCTAATCCCATTACCCCAGTTATCATGTCAGTCCATCTCATTCGGGGTCACCCTATCCTGTGCTGTCCCTCTACCCTTCCAAGTATGATGTCCTTCTCCAAGGACTGGTTCCTCCTGGCCACGTGCCCAAAATATGTGAGACAGAGCTTCAGAACCCTTGCTTCCAAGAAGAAAGTTGGTTTCACCCTCTCCAAGACCTTTTTATTCTCCTGAATATCCATGGAATGTTTAGTACTCTTCTCCAGCACTACAACTCAAAGGCATCAGTTCTTCTTCTTCTTTTAATCTTAGTCATTGTCCCACTTTCTGATGCATAGCATGTAGTTGTGAAGACCATGGCCTGGCTCAGGCACACCTTAGTCTCCAGACTGACATCATTGTTCCGTAGTATTTTGTAGATGTCCCTGACAGCAGACTTCCCAAGTCTTTTGATTTCCTGACTGCTAGTGCCAAGAATATTGGAGCCAAGCAAATTGAAATTGTTAACCTCAATCTTTTCTCCATGTATCACAGTGCTGCCAGTTGGCCCAGTGGTGAGAATCTTTGTCTTCTTGATGCTGAACTTCAATCCATATTGAAGATTACAGTATTTGACCTTCTGTAGCAAGCACTTCAAGTCCTCCTCAGTTTCAGCAAGCAAGGTTGTATCATTTGCATAACATAGCTTGTTGATGAGTCTTCCTCCAATCCTGATACCACATTACCACATTCTCCTCCTAAAGCCTAGCCTCTTGAATGATCTATTCTGCATATAGATTGAAAAAGTATGGAGACAGGATGCATCTCTGATGCACTCCTTTCCAATGTTGAACCATATAGTATTTGCTTGCTCTGTTCTTATGACTGCTTCCTGGTCCAAGTATAAGTTTCACATGAGCACAATCAAGTGTTCTGGGATTCTCATTCTGTCTTTGGATAGTCAATGAAATACAGATAAACATTCCTCTAGTACTCTTTGCTTTCTCCCAAGATCCAGCTCACATGGCGATAATGTCTAGTGCTACGACCTCTTCTAAACCTAGCTTGTATATCTGGTAGTTCTCTGTCAATATACTATTCCAGTCATTTTTGGATAATCTTCACCAGGATTTTGTTTGCGTATGATACTAGTGATGTTGTTCAATAATTTCCACACTCTGTCAGGTCACCTTTTTTTTGGAATGGGAATAAATATTGATCTCTTCAGGTCAGTTGATCAGGGAGTTAACCTTCAGATTTCTTGGCACAACCTGGTCAGCATGTTCAAGGCAGCTTCTATTTCTTGAAATATATTAATTATATTCTATCAATTCCTGGGGCTTTATTTTTTGCCAAGTCCTTCACAGCAGCCTGCACTTCCTCCTTCATCACCATTGCCTCTTGGTCATATGTTGTTTCTTGAAATTCTTCTGTGTCAGCCAATTCTTTTTGGTATAGTGACTGTGTATACTCCTTCCATCTTTTACTGTTTCTTGGATCATTCAATATTCTGCCTACTGCATCCTTAAGTATTGCAAATCAATGCTTGAATTTGTTCCTTCAGTTTAAATGCTGATTGAGTTAAGCCCTTTTGATTTTCCAACTCCAGCTCTTAGCACATTTCATTGTAATACTTTATCTTCTCGAGCTGCCCTTTGAAATAATTCAAAGCTATTCATTTCCTTTCCTTCTTCATTTCTTCCACCTGCTTTGGCTTCTCGGTGCTCTGGTACAATATTTAGAGTCTCTTCTAACATCTATTTTGGTCTTTTCTTCTTCCTTTGTCTCCGTTTAGCAGGTACTTTCAAGAACTCCTTCTTATAGAAAAAGCCCCATGTAACAACCACAGAATAAAAAGATGTCCTGCCTACATTAAGGAATGTTATTTCTTGTTACGCCGCACAGTAGAGAAGAAGAAGGCATGTGTGACAAAAGAAAGCTCCGAGGCGAGACCTCAGCTCCAAAGAGCGGCACGTTAAAGACCACCGCATGTATCTACAAGAGTTAATAGAGCAGGATATTCTATTCTTAGCCATTTGCGCGTCTCGGATTATCTGTGCCCCAGTCATTACTACTACCTGTGAAGGAGGCTTGCTACAGAAATGCCAACCCTAGTTCAGTTAGACATAGGCCTAGTCGAAATCTCACACAGGAGGTGAGGCAGTATGAATTTTGCCACACATTTGAATTAGGAACATCTGCCCCTTATTCACAACATAGATGCGCTGCCCCAACCACACCTGAACTCATCTAGTGGTCCTGATGCCATTACCCTAATAAGAAACAGTACAAGCATTCTAAAAATATCCCTAAATCCAAGGTAAATAATTCATACTTTTAAAAGGAGAACACAATTACACAGTTTAATTGTTTAGTCTCTTTATGGACTGTCTGTTAACTAGAACACCACGTGGTCTGAACCATTTTTAAAATGTAAATGTTCAATGTCTGTATGATAATTTACTCTCACCAGCCTTTCTCTTTAAGAGTTACTGGAAGGTGGTAATCAGGTACTTATATCTGAAGAGGAGAAAAACAATTCCCTAAATCTCTGGGGACTCTGATGATTCCAGTATTTCTCAATCATATGATGCAATACTAACGGTTTGGAAACTATAAAACAATGAAGTTTGTAGAAGGAATGGAGATGAGGTCATGTAGGTGGAACAAAACTCCTAAAAATATTTTCTCTGCTAAGACCAAACATGTTCATTCTCTTCTATTTATGTTAATGCCTCCTTGAAAGTTTATGTTATAAATGCAGTGGCTTTTTATGTTTGTAATTTGTTCTTAGTGCTCACGTTCTCAAATAATAACATCTTCACTTTTTAAAAAAAAATTAGAACACTACAGATAAAGCTGAAATCTCTTTATCCCCACTACTTTGGGCATGCTATGAAAGGGAGCCAGTCCCTAGAAAAAGACATCATTCTTAGGAGAGGGTAATCAAAAAAAGACAGTCAGCAGGATGGATTGACATAGTAGTTTCAGTGAGCTTACACACAGGAACAATTGCAGGACCAGCCAGTGTTTTGGTCTGTTGTACAGAGGGGTCATAACTAACTCAACGACACCTAACACCACCACTACCCTTTCAACAACTCCAGCTCTCCTCATACCTCCCTAAAATAACTCTACTATAAATTTGTGATATTTGAATGTGTCTAAGATACTTTTCCCAATCAATGAAATTTCATTAGCACTAGTACTACATTTTTGCTGCTTCCGGTCAGGTGCTTATACCTAGAAATTGGAAAGAAGTATTAGAGGGTAAAATATTACTGTGTTACCTGGTAAGATTGTAGATAATTTTTGTTAAAATATTTTTCAGCTTAATGATGTGAATTATCTCAATAAAGTTGTGATTAAAATATATATGCACAAATTTTACTTTCTTCAAAGACTACATCTAAGTGTTGCTCTTTTACTAATTATAAAAAAAATTCAAAATAAAGTAATGTCTGTAAATCACACCCTCTTCACCATCTACCACCTCTGTCGTTTTAAGTGGTCTTCCTTTTCTTACAAACTTCCTTATGAGCAATGCACTGTTGTTAGTTATCATGGAATCCTCACTCAGAGACCTTCTGAGGTGCTTTTATGAACTGTTCTGGTCACTTTGCCTTATACCATTAGATGCATTTCTAGTTAAAGTGACTGGTTCTGTCTTTTTTTTGTGTGTGTATAACTG